CCCTACCAATAATGTGCAAAATGCCATTTATACCCTTTTCATCTTTAGTAAGTTCGATAATAATTTAATAAGATTAAAAAAAATTAAGATAAATATAGGAATCTTACCACATTTGTATAGTACATTCACATACCACCTTATGTGGCAGATGAAGTGTACAACTACATCAATTAAAAAGTGTCAATAAATCATAAAAGAAAAGAAAATATTAAATTAATTTTAATTGATATAGTTGCACCTCATCTGCCACATAAGGTGGTATAAGAATGTGGTAATAGTAACATTACTCTAAATATAGTAAATGACAATACTTCTATTAGTCAAGGCTGGATTTTCTTTCTATCAGTTCGGGTGGTGGTGGTGGTAGGAGTGGAGGTGGATGCCCAAGTGGTGGGTGGGGGTGGTGGTGGTGGTGGTGGAGGTAGAGGTGGAGGTGAAGTTGGTGGTGGTGAAGGCTGAGGTGAGGTAGTGATAGTGGTGGTGGAGGAGGTGGTGGTTGGGGTGGTGGTAGTAGACGATGTCATCTGTAAAAATGAAGGATGGTATTATGGGAATTGCTAGATAGTTTCTAGGCTCCGTGTATCTGCCAATACTGATTTTTTCTTTATATTATCCTTGTATTTTGTTCATTTTACTTGTGAAATTAGTGGTATGTTTGAGCCTATTTTGTTGCATAAATTAGTGGTATTTTGTTCTTTATATAATCCTTCACAAAATAATTAAGCAAACAAGATTACCGATGTCTAGTGGGTTAAAGGTTTGTTAATGAAAAACAAATATAAGAATAAGAAGCAAGATCAAGCGAAAAATTCAGCAAACGGATAAACATACCTTTGCCAGTAATGGTAGGCCTGCACACTTTCTGGCGATGTCCCTTCCAATTCTCTCTTGATCTTTAGTCAAAGGAGCACTGTCATCCAGAAATGCTCTGTTCTTTAAAATGAGCCAACATTGATCGTCTGATAGTTTTCCCAAATTACACATAGGAAGTGTCTGCACGATTTTTGCAACCTTCTCACTACGGGTAGTGACAAGAATGCTGCTTCCTTGGGTATCTTTAACACTTGACAAACAGCTCGTCAAATCATTCCATTTGTCAGGATCTTCATTCCAAACATCATCGAGTACAAGCAAATATCTTTTTCCTTTCAGATGTTCTTGAAGATTTTTGAGTGCTGCTTCCTTCTCTTGAGCCTTTTCTAGTTTAAAATGTACCAAGATCTTGTTTAAAATCGACTTGACTTCGAAAGGAATAGATACGCATATCCATATTTTTATAGTGAATTGTCTGCCTATCTCATCATGATTATATATAGATTTAGCCAAAGTTGTTTTTCCCAAGCCCGCAAATCCTACAATGGGCATAACCGAGAGAGAATTCTTTTGAGTATTGCTTGAGTTGATCAAGGTTGTTACTATCTCTAACACAACCTTCTCCCTTCCAACGATGTACTTTTCATCTTGAGCAAAGCTGGAGACGGTTTCCCTGTCAACTCCTGCATCATGAGAGCTTCCACCTTGGAATGTCGAACTTGCAACTAGACCAATACCAGCTGCCTCATTCTTCAGATTGACTAAAGATGAGTTGATTTTCTTGATTTTATGTGCCATTTTGTGACGGAATGCAATGGGATTGTAGTGGAGTGAAAAGAAATTGAGTACCTTTTTCTTCATCTGGTCTTGCACTTCTACCTTACGCCGGAGAACTTCATATTCATATTCATCCAACACATCATCGGCATCATGAGCTACGTCTTCAAGGTCCTTCACCCACATTTTGACCGCCTCTGCCTGATCTTTTTTTTTCCCGGCATCTTGTAGCATGGCTTGAACCTTGGACAATGATTCACGCAGACTTGTGAGTTCTCCTTTGAATCCCCGCAGAAGATTGAATTCTTGTTGGGCAAGTGAAGCCACCTTCGTCAGTATCCCCTCAGCTCCAAAAGTAACAATTTCTGACATCTTAGATATAGTTTGTTCACGTACACAGCAAAAACAACAGGAAATGCTGTTACTCAAACGCAATGTGCCTCTCAAGGTCATGTTGTGGATTTATATAGAGATGGGAGGAAAGGAACTTATATTAGACTTGCAAATCAAGCAATATTTATTTGTATAATATTCTTTTTCAAAGCCTGGGCGTTTAAGTTTCGAATCATATTATACCAACACATCGACCAAGGGGAAACCTCAAAGATGTATACCTCAGTCTTTGTTTTCCTCATTATTAAATGATGCTCCTAATCAAAACCAAAAGCAAAGAAACTAAAAAAAGCATCTCATTTATTTTTTATTTTATTTTGTTATTTTAAATATAAACTATGTAAGATTGTCCTCTGTTTGTGATCTCAAAAAGAAAAAAAGGATCTTTTTTTTCCTTTCTTCTTCTTAGTTTTAAGTATTGTTCTTGGTTTGAAGCCTGGGCATTTAAATTTCGAATCATATTATACCAACATATCAAGGAACGGGAAACCTCAAAGATACCTGTCTTTTTGTTTTCTTCGTTTTTAAATCATTCTCCTAATCAAAACCAAAACCAAAAGCAAAGCAAAGAAAAGGGAAAAAAAAAAGAAAAAGAAAAAGGAACACTCTATTTTGTTTTTGAAATAATCAAAATCAACATTGAGCTTCCAAGTTTGGGTCTAACTATTTAGATTCTCCTGTTTGTGGACAATGAGGGTGATTTTTTTGGTGAGGGGTTCAATCCAACCATAATCATTAAAAAGTTCAAGTCCAATATTTTCTCTCTCTTGTTGGATAGGGGGATTGAATCCCTCTCACAACCCCCTCACCATTCTATAGCATTATCTAGAATATGTCTAAGATAAGTGTGCGAATGTTTCTTGTAATCATCATTCTATAGTGGATTTGTTTTGGACTGAGGGGTTTTACCACGTAAAATAATTTTGTGTGTGTTCATTTATTTTATGTTCTGCACATTTTAGAATTAATAAGTCATATCAATCATGCTACAGAAGTTTATTTTTATTTATTGATTATAATTTTAAATTGGCCTATTCACCTCCATATAGGGATTCTTAGTCATCCTATAGGTAATTTCACAATTAAATTCATTTTAATTAGAAAATCGATACCTAAAATCAAAATATATACATAAATTGCACAAAAACCATATGTATGAATGAGGACATGTTCAGACCAAAAAAAAAAGAATGAGGACATGAATCGAAAAATAACACAATACTAACAGCCTAAGCTTGCGTTTTTGCTTTAATTTAATTACAAATCTCAGATCTTAAAATAGTTCTTCACATCCATGAAACTTCATGAGCCAGTTGAATCAAGAAAAGAAGCATATTCATATCTACCGCGATACAATATGAATGGGATATGTGTAAATTTTCCTAGGCTCTTATAACCTCCTTTCAAGTGACCACAGACTACGCAGAATTCACGATCCACATGAGAAAGGTAAAGACTATACAGAATTTACATCCCCACAACATGCTTTTAGAATATCTTTGATATCTGGATCATCCCCGGCTTCTTTATCCTACTCCAATACAAAAGCAAAAACATGAAATTACACAGTAGCCACAAATCACTAGCAAAAGAGCTCATCTTAATATCTACTTGTACATTTGGACTCATTGGTATGCTTTGAAAACTATATATGTGTGTACTTCCCTCTACTCTGTTCTCTGAATCAAAATAAATTGTCTTGTCTTATCAGCAAATATTGCCAGATTCTCTGGTGATTTAAAGTTTCAATTGGAACTTTGGAACTTGTTAGCAACAGTGTTGAATAAGTTACCGTCTTAACTCGAAAGAGAAAATCCTTCGAAGGCTCTACTTGTACAAATTGAGTCATTACATGCTTGAAGAACTATTTATGTTCTCTTAATTAAAATGGATAGTATTGGGATTATCTGGCGGTCTGAATTTTCAATCTGAACTGGTTACAACCGCATGATTAACCAACAAGTCTATTAAGTCCCAAGCAAAAAGAAGGATAGAAGACTTGCCTTGTGGATGTACAGGATGTTACTTTTACCAGGACCCGCAACTAGAATTCCACCTTGCTGCCTGCCAAACGAACAATGTCACACATGTAAATTTTGTGCTAATTACTTGCTAAAACAAAAACTGTAACAGAAGGTGACAACTTGTAAATCTTCACATGATGATACAAATCTGATACTTGTAGTAAGATGGATGTAAGGAAATACCAGCCGCCTCTGGCTACGGTGTCCTGTTCAAAAGAAAGCTTCCAGTCTTGTCGGTAACCCTCCATGTACAGCTCTAATATCTTAAGACCTGCCTAGAATTTGGTGGAAGCAACTTAGATAAGAGGTCCTACTTTCTGTAAGAAAATCTTAGAAACTTCAGAAGCACTCCTTCCAGCTATAAGTAGCTAATACATCTATGCATCGTCACATTAATAAAAAAACATACAATGTTGATTACATACTTTGGGAGTAAAGGTGGTTAAGACCCCAGAAACAAATCTTAATGCCTCATATGATGAGTGACTTGGGTCTGCATAAACTTCTGGAATGAAAAAAAAGGAAGTTCTGTGACTGGGATGCCTTCAGAGGGAGAAAAATTATAACAGAATTAGTAATAGCTTCTCTTCTGAAACTTACCTCCTTTGAACTTTGTTTGCTCAGCGAATGCT